CCAGGGGCCTGGGCATATTCCCAGGACTCAGTTCTGGCTACTCGCACACGAGACAGGTGGTGTGCATGGAGGCCACATCCAAACCATGGGAAATGAAAATAGCACCCTGATGTACTAGTTGGGTGGGTAGGGAGGGTCCCTTACCTCAGAACCACCCGGAACTGGTTGAACACCTCCTGGATCTGTCTAAGGCTAATTATCTGGAGAGAAGAGAGCAAGGCAGAGGTTAGACCTCAGCACTACAGGACCAAGGCTCTGTCTATATTAGTAGAGGAACCGGGACCCCTGGGCTAATCCACTGACCATCTGTCTCAAGAAAAGGAATCTGCCCTGGTTGATGTGGCTCAGTGGTTGAGCGTCATCCCGTGCACCTAAAGGTCGCAGGTTTGATTCCTAGTCAGGGCACATGCCCAGGTTGTAGGCTCAGTCCCCGGTAGGGTGAGTGCAGGAGGCAACCCAGTGATGTTTCTCTCTCACATCGGTGTTTCTCCCTCTCCCTTTGTGTCTCTCTAAAAATCAATAAAAACATTAGAAAGAGAAAAAAAGAATAGGACATCTGCTAACAGCCTCTCAAAAAAGTAGCAGTACAAGTCCTCAAGAATAGAGGAACATCTGATTAATAGTTTTCAAGCTAAGTATTTATTGAAGCTATAAAAATCACCTTTTCTAAGTGAAGCTCTCTATAAAATCAAAATGACTCTAGTTCTTGAAAATACTAAGAAAAATACTTTAATAAAATTTGTTGTCCTCAGCTCTCTCCTGCTTCCACAAGGTTCCATTACAAATCTTTCTGTGTGGGTACAGACACATACATGCCTAATAGCTGGAGGAAGGCCATCCGCCTCCCTCTAGGCCCAATAACCCACAAGCATTCCCTTGACCATGGCTCAGTCTGGGGCTGCCCTTGCTGGGGAAGCAAGAGAGCCCACCCCTCAGCTGCCCCAGCTGCCCACGGTAACGGGTCTGCCCATGCGGCTCCCTGATGAAGAGTTTGCTGGCCTGCACTATACAAGCAGAATGCATCTTTCCCCAAGGGCCCTTCCGTGTGGTGCTCTCCCTCCTTGGCCCACTCCAGCGCGGCCCTGGGGGTCTTCCTCATAGCAGCATGACCATCACCCTTTAATGGCCTTATTCCACCTGCCACAGCCAGGACCTGAGGTGCTACAGCTCAGTTCATCCCAGCTCAGTTGCCTTCCTCACTATACAGATGAGGCTACCAAAGTACACAAGAACATTGTGCTGGTCACTCAGCAAGGAGATAGCTTAGCTGGGATTCAGTCCAGGGCAGCGGGGCTCCTGCTTGTGTCCTAGTGATGGGTTACGTCCTGTATGTTCAAGACTGTTCAGGCTGCTGGCCACTCTGTGGGGTACCCACAGCCTGATAACCCTAAACATGGAAGCTGAGGCCTTAGTGGGCTAAAGGGACTCTGAGGCCAGGGGTCCACCACCACCCACCCTACACCCATTGCACCCACTCAGTGTGAGGTTCCAAGGCCAGCACAGCACAAGCTGGGGTTGAACATGGGGTTCCCGATGAGGGGCTCCTTACATCGATCTCGTCCAGTGTCCCCTCCAGGTACCTCCGCACCTGGGAGTTGATCTCGGCAATCTGGATCTCATCCATGGGGTCGTAGTTCACAAGGGGGCGGTTGGCCTTGGAGAGGGGAAAGAGCATGTCCACAAGCTTGAAGCCCCTGAGCCCAAGCAGGGGCGGCAGGGGGCATCTGAAAGCCAAGGTCCTGGCCCCAAGCCAGCTCCATTCCCTTTATCATCAAGTCCTGGAGGAGAGAGCCTGATTCACAGGCCCAGTGCTCTGGTCAGAAAGGGACAACTAAGTCGGTGAGGGAAGGAAAGGCCTCCCAATGCGGGCCTGCTACTCCAAGCAAGGGGGTTCTGCTGGCAGATTCTAGGATGAGGGCCATGGGAGGGAGGCGGCTGCCTCTGCTTTGAGGCCCCTCTGGACCATGAGCATCAAACCAGGCAGGCCGCTGGAGGACTTCTACCCTGACCCCTGCGCTCATGGCTCCTTGCTGCTACCCCTCCACACCCCCAGCCCCACCTCTAGCCCCTTACCAGGCTGTCATGGATGGCTAACTCCTGCTTGAGCAGTGCCAGCTCCTTCTCCAGGTTCTTGACCATTCGCTGCCAGGGAAGCATAGTTGGAAAGGACAGGGAGGACAGTCAGAGAAGCCACCCTGCTTCTCCCACTTTAAGTCCACAATTCCCTACCGTCTGCACAGACACTCTAGCCCTTCCTGGTGATCCATGGACTGTGATCTCAGTATCTGAACAATTCTCTCCCCACTGGTGACTTTTCCCCAGCTGGGGTGAGTTTAGGGTCTGAGGGGCCTCAGCAGTCCCTGGCCTGTGCCTCTTACAGCAGAGGAGACTAAGTGCAGAGTGAACACAGGCACCCCTAGCACCACTTCAAAACCCAACCCCCAGGAGCCCCGGGGATATTTCCAGTATACCAGGGTAATGGCCCTCTCAGTGCAGCCCACGCCTCCAGGATGCCTTCCATGCATGGCTGGACCTTCCACCCTCATCCCGTTCGATCACTGCATAAATGTATCACCATTCCCACTGATAAGTATGTGTGTCACCTCCAATTGTTTGCAGCTACAAACAATGCTGTAAGAACATCTTTACCTATATCACTGTGGCTCTACATCATCTGCCCCCCATTGCCTCTTTCCTACTGCTCTCCCCACTCCCACTAAATTAACACATAACCGCCTGTGCCCTGCCAGTCCCCCTGCCTGGGACACTTCTCCCAGGCATTTTCATGGCTCACTCCCTCACCTCCTTCAAGGCTTTGTTCAAAAGCTTCTAAACTAGGCACAGCTCAATCACCCTATGTAAAATTGCCCCCATCCCCCACACCACTCTCTTTAAAAATCTTGCTCTAATTTTTTCAGGGCATGAATCACCAACATACCCTAGAGCATTGCTGTTTAATAGAACTTTCTATAATGATGGAAATGTTCTATATCTGCGCCATGAGCCACTTATAGCTGTTAAACACTTGGAATGTGGCAAGTGTGACTAAGGAAGTAAAGCTTAAATTTTATTTAATTTTAACTACTTTAAGTAGCCACATGTGTGTAGTGGCTACTGTACTGAACAAGGGAAACTCTAGAACATACCTATTTTGGTGTCTAAATGTTTTTTAAAGAAAAACTGCATATGTTTAAGGTGTACAACATGATGTTTTGATGTACATATACCTAATGAAATGATCACTACAGTCAAGATAATTAACATAACCATCTCTTGCCCTGGTCATGCACCGTAGGGTCACAGGTTTGATTCCTGGTCAAGGGCACTTATCTAGGTTGCAGGTTTTCTCCCCAGCCCAGTCTGGGTGCATGCGGGAGGAAACCAACCCATCTGTCTCACATCAGTATTTCTCTCTCTCCCCGTCTCTCCTTCCCTCCCACTCTCTCTGAAAAAGCAATGGAAAAATATATCCTTAGGTGAGGCTTAACAACAACAAAAAACATACCAGTCTCCTCACCTAGTTACCATTTTTTAGTGTGGTAAGAGTATCTGAGATCTACTTTCTTAGCACATTTCCAGTACACATCCAGTATTATTAACTATAGTCACCGTGCTAGACATTAGATCCCCAGGACTTACTCATCCTATAACCGAGAATCTGTGCCCTTTGACCCACATCTCCCCATTCCTCAGCCCCACCAGTACTCCTGGTAACGGCCACTCTACTTCTCTATGAATTTGGCATTTTTAGGTCCCACATACAAGTAGGATCATGCAGTATCTTTCTTTCTGTGTCTGGCTTGTTTCACTTAGCATAATGTCCTCCAGGTTTATCCATGTTGTCGCAAATGTCAGGACCTAGAATCGACCTGTTCCTTATGTTTATTGAATCTGTCTCCCAACCCCCAGCAGGCTGTCAGCTCTTCAAGGACAGAGATTTGTGTTTTTATCTGTACACTAATGGATTCCAAGTGTTTAAAAAGTGCCTAGCACACAGTGAGCCCTCCATAAACTATAGGCAAATGAGTAAATGATACATTTCCAGAAAGAAAATTGCTAAGTCATTCTACATTGATTAGATGCTGTCTGTGTGCCTTTCGTGAAAGACACACAAGGGACTTTATGCTGAGCACCTTCACTGTAAACAACAGGGCTTCCTTTAGTTGTCAAAAATGGCCACTGGAGGGAGCCCTTGACAGCTGAATCCTGGGACCAAAGCTGTGACCAGTCTACAACAAGGAGTGGCAAAACCCTGCAATCCTGGTGGCTCTGTGGCAATTCAGGGCACAAAGCCTGGTAGTCAAGGCACATGACCAGGGCCCAGCCTGGCTCTGCCCCTCTGGGCAGCACTAAGATTGTCTCCTTTGGGTGGGCTTCCTATGAGGTGAACAGGAGAGGCTTATTGGCCAGCCCCTACACATCGCCCCCCTCCCAGCTGAGGGGTCTCAGCTCTGGAAAATGCCTCATGCCCCAGCTAGGGAAAGTCTGGCTGAGCTGCTGGGGGTCTCCAGCTGGATGCCTCTGTCCAGTGTGGCACAGGGAGCCAGGCTTAGACCTCTGGGTGCATCAGGTGATGTGGGGAAATGAGCCATTTGCTCCCTCGGGTCACCAGCCTCCGTGTCATATCCTTCTAATGCCTGGCAGGCTTAGTGGCACTTAGTGGAGACTTGCCCTCCTACTGACCTGACCGGAGAGAAGCTGCTTAGAAACATAGGGCTGGAGCAGCAGACCCCACAGAACTGGGGGGTCTGGTAGCACCTCCTGGCTGACCAACTGCCTTATAAAAATCAGCAGCATTTTCTAGATGGAATTAATAATAGCTTGGAAACAGCACAGACTCACATTAAGTTCCCTAATGGTCAGGTGCTTTCACCATAAATTCATGAGGATAATTCAGAGAGTTCTGCTTAAGTCCTGCACCAGGCTAGGAGCAGCTCTCAGCCTGGAAATTTCCCTGTTGCAACCCCACTGTAACCTGCAGGTGTATTTTCTCTTGGCAGAGTCCAATACCCCAAGTTCTTTCTCTACTGTCTGCTCCCGCCCGAGGCCCACAACCTTTACACCACCTCACAGAAATCACAGCCTGACGAAGTGGGAAGGTAACTGGAGGTCATCAGTCCAACCCCCAAGTTCATGGAAGAATGCCCTGAGGCTCAGAGGCTCAGCAACTCACATCAAGCTGGGGGCAGAGGTGGATCGAGAACCCAGCCTCCTGCCTTACAGCCAGCCCCACCAGCCAAGGAGATTCTGCAGAAGCTATTCCACCCCCTTGAAGACAGGCGTCAGTACTGAAAACAGTCCTGGAAACAACAACCCGAGAATACTGGCTACAGTCTAGGGAAGGCAGCAGCCAAAATAATTGTCCAAGTCTCTCTCAATAACCCATAAAGGAAAATGCTTATCATAAGGACTACAAACACATTCACATTGGATGACATGGAGATGTGGCTGTCTCAGACCAACAGTGCAGATTTCATAACAGAAATTACATTAAAGAGCATGAAAGTCATTGCTGGCAGGCACAACGCCCACCCAGCCAGGCTTACAGGTGGTAATGTGATTGTCCTGAGCTAAAAGAACTCCAAACAATAAGAATAAATAAATAAACTTAAAGCTACAGAAAAGGGTGGAAAATAATGCCATGAAACTCAATCAGACCACCCCAAGATCAGAATTTAACAGCATGCTGCCATATTGGCATTTGTGTGTGCGTTTTTCTTAAGAAATAAAACATTTCAAAAAAAAATAATAAAACATTTCAGAGAAATGTGAAGTCCCTGTGTACCCCAGTCCAAGTCCACTCCCCCAGACATCCCAGAGGGAGCCTCCAGCCTCATGTTCATCTTTTCACTAACACCTGCTTTTTCTTTTACTGCACACACATGTATAGATGGCCCACTTACAATGATTTGACTTCGGATTTTTTGACTTTATGATGGTGCAAAAGTGATATGTGTTCAGTAGAAACCAGCTAGGCTAAACTATGATGTTTGGTAGGTTAAATGCGTTTTCAACTTATGATATTTTCAACTTATGATGGGTTTATCAGGACGTAACCCCATTGTCAATCGAGGAGCATCTGTATCCATGAATGATAATCAGTGTTGCTTTGCTTGTTTTTATACTTGATGTAGACGTTAGGTGCTACCTTTCAGGCCACTTCAGTCCCCACTTGAGGTTGTCCATGTTCATAGGCCTAGCTCCGGCTCCCTCCCTCCACAACACCTTTAGCCACTCTCCTGTTAAAGGCTACCAATCACGTCCCTAACTTTCACTATTGCAATAAGCGGTGGGCACTGTCTTCTGTAAATCTCCACATGCATCCCTGTGAATGTGTAGAAGTGCGGAGAGCGAGCGCTAGCTAATGCTGACTGGGCATCGACATGACGGCACTGTGCTGAGAGGTTTCCACCCATATCTTACTCTTCACAACACCTTTTTGGGAGTGAATTCTGTTTCTGCCCAAGTTCACAGGCGAAGAAACTGAGGCTTAGAAAGGATAAGTATCTTGCTGAGGCTATACCGCTGATGAAGGAAAGAGCAGGTTGCTGAACCAGGACAGCTCAGAGCAGGGGCCAGGGCTCTGAGCAACTGAGCCGGTGGTCCTCAAAGTGTGGCCTCAGAACAGCAGCAGCAGCTGCAGCCCTGGGGAACTTCTAGAAATGAGAATCCTCAGGCCCCATCCCAGACAAATGCAGTCAGGAACTATGGGGATGGGTCCAGGGACCTGTGGTTCAACAAGCCCACAGGGTAACTGTGATGCCTGCTCAAGTCTGAGAACCAGCTCCAAGCTCTGTTCCCTCCTCAATCTCCAAACCATGGGTTAGTCCCACAGAGCCACGTGGACAGCCATTTTCCTTCAGGATTTAGAATCTGGAAAGTTAAAATGGTTTGGCATGAGCTCAGGGCATGCATATGCCCCTGTCTGCAGTAACTGATTCCATAAGCATTTTAAAGGATAGCCAAATGATCGGTAAATGTGTTTTTACTTTACTAAATGTTGCCAAAATGCTCTCCAAAGTGGTTATATCCACTCTCTGACCAGAAATAGAGAGGCATTCCTGTTTCAGGGCATCTCACCATCATTTTGCAGTCAGAAAAATTCTAATTCTTGCTAGTCTGGGGTGAAATTCCACTAAAGTTTTAATTTGCATTTCCCCAATTAATGGTCATGCTGAACATTCCCTGATTGGTCAGCTCTGCTTGCTGGTAGGGACTACTCAGGCCGGGAGGAAGGAGGTTCTGCAGTGACATACCCGAATGAGTCTGACAGGGGGTCCACACTGGTTTAGCTCCAAAACTGATCTTTAAGGAAGCTCCACACCAAAACCCAGGGTACTCAGCGGCCCCGAAGCCCCCACGTGCAAACTGGGCGGAGGCAGTTTGCACCTTTGTGGCAGCCCCCAAGGGAGTGTCAAGGGATTCTGAAGACTGGCCTATCCCAGAATGGAAAGGGGCTGCCCCGGGATCGCACCTTTGGTTGGGGCAGGAAGGGGAGCCAGGCCCACATAACCCAGGCAGCAGACCCACACTCCTCCCCCACAGGGAGAGGCCTGCCTGTGAGCCATCAGTACCTCCGCGTCATACTTTTCGTTGATGGCAGGCTCGGTGGCGACCATCTGCATCCTGCTTGCGAATCGCAGTGAAGACAGCTGTGGACAGATCCGACAGGCCAATTACTTATTGGTAGAGATACTCGCAAAACAGGTAAAAGGAGCCCACTAGGAATAACAAGTCCCTGCTCAGAGACATGCTCCAAATTGGACAGTGGGGTCTCCTGCGCCCATGGAGTGACGTCAGGAGGGTCTTGCCCGAGTCCCAGGGGTAATTATGCCAGGAAGCCCACAAGGCAGCCACATAAGCAGGTGCTTGGGAAACAGCCCAGACACTGCCCTACTACACTGATGTTATGTGAGGGGTGGACGGCTGCCTCCCTGGCAGTGGGAGGAGCATGTGGTGGCACGAGACCAGCCTGAGATCTCAACCTCCTACAATGCTGGGCTGACTCGGAGCCCTGAAGCAGAGAAGCCGACTTGGAGGGGGGATAGGTCACCTAGAAGTGGCCCAGAGGGAGGGCTGCATGGGCTCTTCCTTTGGGCAACCTGGTCATCTGGTCCAGTGGTTAACAGCTCTGCCACTGACCAACAGTACAACCTCAGATAGGTCCTGTAACTTCTCTGCAGAGCCGGGAGACCTGCCTCACAGGGTCCCTGGGAGACTCAGCGATGAGGTGTGTAATGTGCTCTGGGCAGAACTGGCCCACAGAGAGCCCTCAGGGAGAGCCTCCATCACTACAGCTGGAGTTGCTTCTGTATGGGGTGAAATCAGACTCCCACTCCAAGCACAGCGGCAAGTGTGGCCACGACTCCCTCGCTGTGGTCACACTCTCTCTCTTCACGTACCGTCTCTTCTACCTGGGCGGCTTCTCCATAGATGTTTGTCACCAGGACCATATTGCAATTTCCCCCTGCAGAAAGCAGGACACAGAAGGGCCATGAGCCATGTGGGTTTGCTGCCTAGAGATTCCCTGGAGGCTCGTGGGGGTCTGTATGAATTCAATGTTTGTGTGCCCCCAAATTCATATGTTAAAGTCCTAACTCCCAATGCCATGGTATTTGGAGGTGGGACTTTTAGAAGGTAATTAGGTTAAATGAGGTCACGAGGGTGGGGAACAGCAGAGGAGAGATGGCACGAGGCCGGGAGGGAAGGGGGCAGATTTTACTCATGGTAGCACTCAGTTAATCACCAGACACCAATGGCTGTGTCATCAGGCCCAACACAAAACCCTGGGCACACAAGGATGACAAGACACAGCCCCCACCCCTCTGTCGGGGAGACTGTAGGGGAAGGAAAGACGTCCAGGGAGAGGCCCTCGGCCTGGATCTTCAAGGTGCTGTCAGCTGGTTTAGGGAGGAGAGGAAATGAGAAGGTATTCCCAGGAGAGGCAAAAGCTTAGGCAAAGGTTCTGAGGAGTGAACAGCATGACGTGCTGTAGGTGAAAGAAGAGGGCACTCTGCTTGACTCTGCCTTTTCAGGTGGGTCCGAGGCCACTGTGAAAAGGCTGCAGTAAGTCCACGCCTCTGGGAAGAAGCAATTCCATTTGCACCAGCAGCAGGTATGTCAAGGCCTGGCCCTCCTCCCTGTGCACCAGCCACACCCTCACCCTCACCTAACGAGTCCTTCAGGGCGTGGGTGAGCTTGCACTGCCGGAAGGGGATGTGGTCCCGCTTCTGGTCCCCAAGGGCAATGATGGCCTGCTCCAGGAATGACAGTGACTTGTTGATGTAGGTGGCTTCCTTCAGGATGCGGCCCTCAGACTACAAACCAAAGGTCAGTTCTTCTTCAGACCAAGTGGAGAGGCTGCCCCACTAAGAGCACTGCAGGTGTGTGGCCAGGCTGGAGCTTCCTTCCCAGAACCCCAGGGTCTTCTCTCAATGTCAAGGGATTGTATTCCATCTTGGGCTAATAATACTAATCAGTTCTCACAGGAAAGCTCATACAAATACTCATGAGTGCTCATGTGAATTGAATGCTATGTGAATATTCATATAAATATTCACTTAGAAGTCATGCTAATATGAATATAAATATGAATATTTGTGAGCAAATAATCCTGTGAATATTTAAACAAATACAAATACTCACACAAATGCACAAAGAATGCTCATCCGAATACTATTGTGAATACATTCTTTTTTAGCTAACATATTTTTTCATGTATTTTCCCACCTGGACATTTTAACATATCTTTTAAGTTGCATATGTTAATTTACAATGTTTCAAATTGGAATTTTAATTAGTCCAATCATAATACTCCTTCAGACATAAAAAAGACTTTAATATACATTACCTTGTAAATTAGCCACAATTCTAAGTTTTAGATAGGGGAAAACTTATTGTCCAAACAACAATCAGAGAGGTTAAAAGATAGAATGTAACTTATAACAGAGCTAAAAGTAGAGCTCCTATCTTACTGTCCTTAGTCTAAGGAACTTTTTAATTTGTCAATTATGGTTGACATTCAATACTATTTTATATTAGTTTCAGGTGTATACTCTTGTGAATGTTTATGCTAATACACTCATTAATACTTATTTGAGATGAAATACTCATGCAAATACTCCTGTGAACACTCACACTCATATAAAGAGAAATGCTAATCTCCAGCGTGGAGCATTTACTGCACACTTACTGAGTGCCAGGCACCTTCTTAAGAATTTAAGGGCAGGGCGATGATCTCATTTAAACTTTACAAAAGTCCTGTCACATGGGAACTGCCTGTGTTGCAGCTGTTCCACTTCTGCTAATTCTGTCCCTCCAGTTCCTCAGGGTCAAGCCCACATGCTCTACTGTGCCTACAGCAGGGCTGTGCTCACAATGAGGGGCAACCCCAATGAGGGGTGGCCCATGTGCACAGGCCAGTAAGCCAGAAACAGGGCCATGGCTTGTTGAAAGGGAACCTTTGCTCCCCCCACTTACCCCAGACTTTCCCAGCCTTTCCGAGCCTGCTAGATCCACCAAATTGATTTTGGAAGTGATGTACTTTTCATCTGATAAGGTCCGAGAATGGGCCTATGAAACATCCAAACAGAGATTAGGCTGAAGTTTCCCGGGGAGAATCTGACTGAACAGGCCCCATGGAATTGACCACCATTCCTAGGCCAGACGAAGAGCTCACACTCACCTCCAAGTAGATGGTGAAAATGCAGTGTGACCTCGATGAGTTTTTGTTCAACGTGTGGGAGGCTATAATCCTGTTGGTTTCTC